AGGCCTCCAGAGCGCCGCTTCCGCCGAGATTTATAGTGGAGTAAAATGTCTGCGCTTGCTTTCTGGTTAAACTTAAAAGCTAAACCGACGGCCGTGAAACCAAGTTTGTCCTTAATATTTCTGTCACAACCATTGTCAATTAGCGCTTTCAGATTTTGAAGGTTTCCCAGTTTAGCGGCAAGATGGAGAGCGGTTCTTCCCAGTTTGTTGCGCTCGTTGACATTGCAAGACGCCGATGCTAAGATGCGCAAGATTTCGTCAGCTCTTGTCTGTTCACTGCTGATGTGTAATGAAGTCATCCCTTCCTGGAATAAACAGTATTTTACGATTTGGTACTCAGAGCATAAGTTGGAAATCCCCTACTGTATGTAAACGTTAGCCTTTGAGACGCTTTTTACAGATGAGAAATTAAAATAAACTCAAGGTTTCAATCCAGGGAAACTGTGCGGAACGCCTCTCTAGCTTCTCAGTCAAGTACTCATTAGCTAGTTTCAAAAGTTCAGTTAATAAAACAAAGCGCGGTAGTAAACAACCCTATAGTCGCGAAGGGGTGCGGAAAAACTGAGAGAGGTTTATGTCGTGTATGGCTCGTTAGTAGCCTTCCTCGCTTTTTCTCCTCCGCTACTCTTGCGTCGTTCATCTTAACTAACTGAACCCCTGAAACAGACTCACTACTCACTCTTGAATTACTCCATACAGGGACTCCACGGTTGGATCCAGGGTAGTTAAATATAAGTGAGTTCCGGAACTCACTCAAATTTTTCAAAAACACTCTGATCTCCCTTTAGAAACTACTGATCCGTTTCTGGAGATGACTTGACTTTACTGAAAACACTGGACTTTATACTGTCATAGTGAACACACATCAGTGACACAGGTTTGCATAGCAGCTGATGCTAGTAGATCAGAGTCTTTCATGTAGTACTTTAAAAAAAATTTTTGCCTTTTTGGTACATGCTATTTTGCTCTCTTTAGTGCAATTAAATTATCTGAAAATGCAGGAAATGGCATCTAGAGAGCTCGAAATTTCAAATTTTCTTGGGGAGGGGGGGAGTATGCCCCCGAACTCCCCTAGTGGGAGTGTCTCCTCGGGTGGAAACTACTCACTTCAAAACCTGGATCCACCCCTGAGTTTCGTCCAATTCAGTCCAAAATCGTACTCGTAATTGACAAATCACACGCGTATGACCTCAAAAGGTCATTTTCCTGACTTACAATTGTGTTATCCTAGCTCTGAAAGCTTGTTTCGAATATACATGTCTAGGTTAATTAAGAACACTAAATAAATCAAACCATTTTTTCCGAGCCACAAAGAATCTGTATAAATGTCAACGGAGGCCTGAAAAAGAACCCACTGGATGATTAAGATTGAGTCGGAAAAAGTAGAGAAATAGCAAATGAAAACAAATCCAACTATGATGGAAAGGAAGTGCTCATGTTCGAAGATTGAGACCTGTGAAAAATTAAAGGTCCGATGAAACTAAAGAAAAGCCTGTTTTCACATAACTTCTCTTCACTGATTTTACAAGGCATCAACCACCATGCCATACTTTTAAAAATAGTGGTAATCTGAAGGAAAAATACCGCGTGTATACTATGAAAAATGCGTTATTCGTCTGCAGCGCATGCGGAGCTAGCCCAAGGAGAGAGAAAATTCCGCGGTCATAGACATGTTATGTCAAGTGTGACAAATAATGCATGCCTCGAGCGTGACTTAAGGAGGAAGTAAACAGAAAAGCTTAAACTAAGGAGGAACGAAAACATTTGGTCATGTACATGTTATGTCAAGTGTGACAAATAATGCTTGCCTCGAGCGTGACTTAAGGAGGAAGTAAACAGAAGAGCTTAAACTAAGGAGGAACGAAAACATTTGGTCATGTACATGTTATGTCAAGTGTGACAAATGAGGAAGTGAACAGAACAGATCAGAATAAGATGGAAAAGAAGCGCGAGGAGACAGGAAGCTCTTAAACTTGACAGAAGTAACCAGATCAAGTGAAGGCCCGATTTTCCTAAAGCAATGTTTTTTTTTTTTTCAGGTAACTATTCTAAATCAGTACAACAGCACACTAACCGACGCGACTATCATACGATTAAACGCTAAGGGAAAGAAAAATCGTCACGTAGTATTCGCTGTGTTAAACTTTTCACAGAGTCATATTTGTTATTCGTGAAACGCGAGGCGGAGCAAATCATCTGTCGAAAGATTGTCACGTGCGTGTTAGGGTAGGTTAGGCGCGTTATCATTAAAGGATGTTTCCGTCAAGTGTATTCAGGAGGTGAATACACTATCTTCGATATAATGATTGCCACTTCTGACTTCTAAAACCAAAGTATAACGATTACCGAAAAACCGCTATTTTCTTCTACTCACAATTTAGAGCACGTTCTTAATTTGTCGCAAAATCAAACCAAACCCACTTCTAAGTTTAACCGATGACAAATAATGCTTGCCTCGAGCGTGACTTAAGGAGGAAGTAAACAGAAAAGCTTAAACTAAGGAGGAACGAAAACATTTGGTCATGAACATGTTATGTCAAGTGTGACAAATAAGGAAGTGAACAGAACAGATCAGACTAAGATGGAAAGGAAGCGCGAGGAGACAGGAAGCTCTTAAACTTGACAGAAGTAACCAGTTCAAGTAAAGGCCCGATTTTCCTGAAGCAATGTTTTTTTTTTTCAGGTAACTATTCTAAATCAGTACAACAGCACACTAACCGACGANGTTTAACCGAATCCGCCATTGCTTAAAAGCAATGGCGGAATGTAAAACATTGTGCCGGGCGCTCACCTACCCAACAAAAATGCTCAAACATGGATGGAAATCGTATCGAGTTGCTGCAGTTCTGAAGAGCATGCGTGGAGGCTTTGAGCTAGCTCACTGGGGAATGGAAAACTTAGTGCCCTGAGCTTCCTCGATCGCTGCTCAGCAAGGATATAAATAATCTGTTTTAACTCCGAACCTATCAGAATATATTGGAACTCACAGAATATTCGTCCTACACCCTTAGTGCTTTACAAGTGAACAACAGATATTTGAAGAAGGGTAAGTTTTGCTCCAACGCACAAATCAGTTTGTAATTGATCTCAATATCATCATGATTATACTTTTACCTGAACATCAAATATGTATCATCTCTTCTTTAAAAGTTTGACTCGAACTTTGTACATGTAAATTAGCCACTGGAGTAATTGGACAAAAAGTTAGTCTCGAATTCGTCACAGTTTCAAGGGAGAGCATTTAGTCTAAGAATGGATGTAAGACTTTAGAGACTTGGGTTAAAGATGGATTATTATATTTTCGTTAGCAATCATTTACCTACTAAAATAGTCAGAACCATTGCCTGATGAACCTGCACAAAGGGTTAACAAACCATGAGCCGTGTTTGTGAGTTACCAGTTTTATGTGCTAAATGTTTTATATTGCTAACAGAATTTCGACATGACAACAGCAATCCTCACCGTCTTGGGCTTGCTGTTATTCTCGTCCTTGAATCTGGAGGTGAAAGGATATTGTGAAACGAATGGCTGTAGCATCCCTGGAAACGTGCCGTTTCCTTACAAAAGATACTTCAACCGCGCTTGCAACAAACATGATATCTGCTACGCTTGTGTGAGTATATTTTCCTCAGCTTCAAAATACTTCGAAAAAATAGCTCAAAAAAGCCTAGTCAGTGTTGAACTACTATTGATTTGGTTGCAAACTGAAATTCAAAACTTACTTTGTGTGAGGATACGTCAAACCCAGAGGTCTGCTTACACAGAAGATCTTTGAGAGCTGGTCTCAAGTCCATTTGAAAACGCACTGAAACCTTACCATCATTTGTTTTCTTAACCATAGGTAATTTCATGACCTTTCAGATGTACTGTTTGATTGTTAAACGATGAGTAACGTGGATTCTATTTATTAAACAGAGAGCGAGTAGCGTAACCAATCAGATCGCAACATTTGTGATGGATCACCAGTTGATACATTCTAGCGGGGAATAGCTTCGCATGTTTAGTCTTTACTATTTGACTAAACATTCACACAACTCAGTGTAACTTTCAATCAAAGGCGTGTTACTTTCAAACAACAGTTTACAGTTCAATTTCCTTTTCAAAGTATGTAAAAGTTATATCAATGAAGCACAGTTTCTTGAGATAGAGACCATTCTGTATGTTCTTTACAGGGTCAACTCAACGGTTGGACTCGTTTGCAGTGTGACAATGCTTTCTTTTGGGATATGTCCAAGCTATGTTTAAAAAGGTTTTTCTTTCTCAAGCACTGCGTCAAGTATGCAGGGATATACTATGGGGCGGTCAGGCTCGGTGGCGAAAAACACTACGAGGATCCATCAAAGTACTGGTGCAGCACGTGCCCCAGCTCCAAAGGAGATCCTTCCCTTCGAGTTAACCGCCGCTAGTATTTAAGAATAAGAGCATGTCAGGTGCAAAACATTTAATGCAGAGAAAGGCGTTTTTTTTTTTAAATAAAAAGTGCATTGTAATCTTGACGAGATAAAATAAAGAGCTTTAGTGACAAGAATTGTAACAAGCGTCGTCTCTTGCTTACACGTAACTGATCGCACTTTCCTCGTCTTGAAGAGACTGCTATATGTTATTTGTTCGCCGGGAGTTCTGCGCGATGAAAAACGTTGTACCAGTTCAACAAAGCCGTTTTTGTTTTGTTCCAAACAAGTTGTTATGTCTTTTTTTAAGGTAAGGGTTGGTTTATTAGTATTAGATCCCATTATCAACGCTTCTAAAACCAATTGCTTGCTCCAGTGTTTGATTAAAGTTCTGTCAAAATTGGGAAGTCGGATAGGTGAGGCAGTGAGTGTGAATGTAGTGGTCTCCTACACGGAACAAACTTCAAGCGAACTGTACACTACAAATATGCAAATACTTTCTTCAAGAAATCAACAATTGTAAGTAAGTAAATACATTCATATCATATTACACTACATTCTGGTCATTTAATTTATAAACACCTCGAGAGATTTTTAGACATTTATTTGGATATTTATTCATTTTGTCACTTGCACACGCACACAAATAAAATACAGTTGTTTACAGCAATCAAAAGAATATCCATATTTTACAACAATAATAATAATAAAGTATTTATATAGCGCTAGTATCCTCAAAGTTCAAAAGCGCTTAACAAGAGCGACACAATAGAATTATAAAAATGCTTTTTTAAAAAGGAAAGTTTTAAGTTTGTTTTTAAAAGCGYACAGTGAGGAGCTGTTCATAATATCGGACGGCAAGGTGTTCCAGAGTGTGGAGGCAGCTAAGGAAAAAGATCTTGGAAAAAGATCTCGAACCGTATAAACAAACTGGATAAAATTACAATCTAGAGTCGTCTATAAATAATGTGGCGAGGAAACCCTATAAAAGCTAGAAGCCTATAAAAACCTGGCTTCCTCACACGATGCAGAAGATACAATTGCATAACTAGGGACGGGCGAGTTTACTTTAGTTTTCTGTTAATTAGGAATTTTTTAAGCAAGCCTTAAAGCAGGGATAATCTGTGGGATAGGGTAAGATCACAGGGTAGGGAATTCCAAGCCTTTACACCTTGGTACAAGCTCGTAGACTACTTGACACTAAATCTACAAAAGACGTGGACGATAGCTGCTGGTATTCCGTGCATCGAACATACATGTATGAACTTGATTATGAGTAGAGAAAAGAGTATCAAAAATATTAGATAGGATATCATTATGATTGGATTCCATAAAACAAGCGACAAAGAAAGCATTAATGTTCTAAATATAAATGATATCAAGAGTGTAGAACAAGGAAGCAGTATGAGCTAGATAATGTGCTCCATTAATAATTCTGACGACACGTTTCTGAAGGAGGAAAAGTCTGTTAAAATTAGGATACGTCGAGGACCATACAATATTACAATAGTTGAGATTAGGATACACTTAAGTATAGTTCAAAGATAGTAAAGATTTTGAAGAAAGAAAGAAAGAAAATTGACTTATTTTTCCAATAGTTGCTGAAAACCGGCTAACACTAAGTTATACCTAACAATTATTATCCGAATAGAGTTGAATAATTGTTATATTATATACCACACAGATGCCAAAAAATTAGTTTATTTTCAACATACCGAAAAATGGTCGAAATTTAACTCCCGACGCGCCATTGTCTCTACAGCTGCTTAGAAATGAGTAGTCCTTGCTATTCACCTCCGAACTAGCCAATCAACGCGTGCGTAAAGCACTTTTCGCTTGTGTGTCGTATACAAATTAACAATTATTCACCGAAGTGGAGGTGGTTAGTGGTGGATATTTACCGAATTGCCTAATATTTTACCCCGCCAACCACCGACACTGAGGTGAATAGTTGTTTTAGTATATACTAAAACAGCGAGATAATATACACCACCAAAAATTTATTTTAATTCATACATTCCAGCAACGATTCCAACATTTTCACGCGGGGAAGTGAACAAGTGAGGTTACGCAAGATTAATTTGCATGTGTAAACAAAACCTTTCTCATTGGTTTTTATCGATAAACTCCGGGTTAGAAACTTACACCACTACCTTTAAACACGGCCAAACCAAATTTAGTTTCTTTCTTTGAGTTTTCAGAGACTGCTTCGTCGTTAATTTGAGTGATTTCTTCGCTTGTCACGGATGCAAACCGGGACGCCATTTTTCCCCGAGTTGCTCGGAGGTAAATAGCAAAGGATATTCGGAGTTTGACTGGCCAATTAGAGCGCGCCACTGTTTTAGTATATACTAATTAACAATTATTCCACGAGTGCGCGTTGGATATGAGATGAAAGATAGCCAACGAGGCGCCTAGCACCAAGTTGGCTATAATCATCTCATAATCATCTCATCGAGTGGAATAATTGTTTTATTAAAAACAAAAAAAAAAACGCCCCCAAGATATTAGGCAAATCTTCTCGACTTTATTTTGTAAGAAGAAACCGGATGTTACAATGTACAGATATTACCTTATGGTATATTAGCTCATATACCATAATGGCTAAGCCAATAAAAAGCCTCGAATTGCATTATCCAATGATCCAGTTTTTAACAATAGTCAATATCGGCGGCTGACTGGATCAACCAGCAAAAAAGTACAAAATTCAGGGGAAATAATTATGAATCGTACATAAATAGTCTTAAACTGTTGTTTCATGTTCTAGCACAAAAGTCAAAACGCTTTACTTGAAAAATTTCCGACTTAAATACAATAACTAATGTTCGAGTCTCATTTATTCCCCGTCGGATTATTTTAAGACCCAAAAGAACTGGGTCTTTCATACATACTTTTTAGTCTTTATTTTTGTGGCTGCCCGCGCGGGGTTGGGTTAGACATACAGATTAAACAAAACCTTTTGTCCAGACCATGTGCTGGCGAGTTACTTGTTTTGCATTTCTTTTTATCACGTTTCTATGAGGCTTAAAAATGTCGTAATTAGTATTTCGTTTCGTCTTTTTATGTTTAATTTATTCACATCTAATTGTTTTCCCCTTTTTAGTCAAAC